AATCGCCCGATACAGTCACATGTCACTTAGCGATCTAGCGCAAGTAATAGGATATTATGAAATGTTTATATCAACAAGTCGTCCTTCCTTTGAATTATTACGCGCCAAATCCCGCAGCCCGCGTTTCACTGCGAGATATCGATCCCACATCGATCGACATACTTGGTATCATTCGAATTTCTACGAGGACAGGTCGCGTCATCGTCTGAACGGTACGGAAAAACGGCGAGAAAGTATGAGAGAAAAAAAAAGGAGAAGCAAGTATAAACGCGGAAGCGAAGAGAAATGAATCCACCAGAGGAAAAAGCACGACGCGCATCATGCGCGGACTAACGCCACGCCGTTCGCCCGAGATCGACGCAACCTGGGCGCGCGAGTAAATAAGCCCCCACCCCCGCATCGCGACGTACGTCGGCGTCGACGGTGGCGTAGCGATGGCGCGCCGGCGAAGGTGACCAATCAACAGGCGCTAATTACCCCGGCCTATTGGCGGTGACCGCTCGCAATGCTCGCATTCAATTGAGCATCGATACCTTCTTCCCCTCCCCTCCGCTCTCCCCGTTCGGCGGGTCCTTGTGGGAAGGACGAACGATAAGGTTCCAATTTTAATAAGGTACGTCGACGTACCTCACACAAATAGCTTCGACATGATAACGATTGGCTCCAGAAATTTTTCCATAATTATTAGTTACAATATTCAAAACGTAATAAACGAAGAACGTTGCACGCGTGCACGATTCCACGCGCTATAATTTCAGGCGTTGTAAATAGTTATTACGTAAAAAAGATTACATAAAATAAACGTAAATTTATAATCATCGAGAATCGGGAGAAATCCGAGGGGGACAAAATGCTTTCGCGGAATCCACGCGTCGAAATTCAAATTGCACAACTCGGATGGCGTTTTCTTTCATTGGACATCGCGGCCGCATTTTTGTACTATAGAAACCATCTAAAAGTTAAAGATACTTTTGATGGACCTGCTATGTTTTAACAACTCCTGAGAAATAGATAGATATTGCTATTTATTGAATTTTTTATGAGCCTCAGGATTGCATCCTCACAGAGAAAAAGATTTGTTTGGACTCGAGAGTTCTATTTACATTTGTTTCATATTGAAACAAATTTAATTTTAAGTGATACACACATTTTGTTTAATCAACAAAAATTTTGTTTTAATGCAAATAATCACATTCTTAATTTAAACGTCCATTTTGGTTAGATTATTCAAATATATAAATTTGTTTAATTTAAAGAAACCTTTTCTCTGTACTCTAAAGCACCAAAATTAAGCATATAATATTATGTATATTTATTACATATATTTACATGAACAACTAAGCTGAAGTAATACTATAAGTACCATAATAAAAAAAAAAAATTAAAAGAAAAATAAAATTAGATAAAAAGAAAAAAAAAGTAAACGACTGAATGAATCATTATTTATTTTGGGCCCTGAGATATAACTTTTTCTTAAACTCAGAAATGCTACAAAGTTATGAAACATGAAACATAAAAAAAATATCATACAAAAATTAACGTTTAAAGGACCGGAGGCCCCTTTAGGGACTCAACAGTGGTGCCACCTTTTTCGCCACTCAACCCTATTGACAAATAAAGTTCTAGCCTTTAAAATAAAAAAGTCGATCAAAAACATGCCAGTCCTCACAGAGAGATGAGAAAAATAAATGATAATAATAGACTAACATAAATAGAAAATATAAAACAAAAAAAGAGGAAGAAATATGTCCTCTCTCGCGTGATTTTGCTAAAACTAGAAATCTGCATACGCATCTCGTATTTAGATTCCGATTAGAAGGCGTCTACTTCGCGCGACTCGCGTGCGAGTTCGGTTATATATAATTCGCCAATTTTCTTGCGAATCTTCGCGAGCTCGTGAGAGAATTTCATTCCATCGCGGCGCACGACGATTAGATAATCGAGACGGAGCGTGATCGATTAGTGCACGCGCGCGCACGCTCACTCGTTCCGGGCTGTTCCGGAACGTGTCAACACACGTCACGATCGTGGTGGCGTCGATCGTGTGACGTCAAAGGTCGATTATAAGTTTACAATACGCGGCTCATATATGACCGCGTAGCAACTTAATGCGAGATGCATCGCGATAGCGTGCGGTTATCAGTCTGTTGGATAATCTATCGTAATTGTTATTTATTACATAAAACCATAATTCTACAGTTTCAGTAGATTTCATCGCCTCTTACCTTTCCCTCTACTCGTGGGATCGCAACAATACACTAATGTAAGGCGCAGGAAAAAAATCGCATTTCTCGAGATAACATCGGAAGCTCTATAAAGAGAAAAGATATTCTCTGTAAATGTCGGACTGAAAAAGTTCTCCCCCCCCCCCTGAATAACATCGCTCGCGAAAGTGTATAATAGTGAACAGAATACGATTTTTTTTTCGGTGGGTTTCGGAATGCAACTTGCTCACCGAGCGATTGGATTTCACTTATGGATTCAACCATTTACATTAAACCGATCTACGACTGAGTTCCAACATCTATTGGAAAAAAAAAAAGTATCGCAACCATTCTGTCCACCTTCGAAAAAGTTTGAAAACTTTTGTTCAATACAAAAAGCGAGATAATCGCTACATCCAAAATAAAACGCACATTCTGTATGTATAATTTAGCGAGATGGTTACACAATAAAATAATGATTCCAGTAAATCGACGTCTCCGAGGTATTACATAACGAGAGAAAAATCGCATATGGTGGGCAGTTTTGATTTCCGCGGGATCGCCATTAAACACAAAAATCAGTCGGAGGGGAAGACGATTCCCCCCCCTCCTCCCCCCCCCCCCCCCCCCCCCCCCAAACCACCCTC